TCTGTCTGTGAAACTGCTTCTGAGCCTCTCTTGCATCTTCTGAACCATAATTATTGACTTGATTTGATCAGTTGGTCCCTCAACTCAATTTACAACATTTCCTCAAAGAGAAGACAGGCTTTAGGCGAGCTGATTTGCCCTGTTGGCACGCACGAAGCTGGATATCTCATTGACTTGAAGACTTGATGTGTCTATCTCTGCTGCCATCTGTGGATTTTAAGGACGCATATTTAATTGGATTTACAATAACTGGTTCCTGCTTTTTGGATTCGGCTGGTTGCTGGTTTTATCTACAATCAAGGAAGTCGTCGGCAGCAAATTTGGACCTGATCATGCTGCTTGCCTTTATGATGGCTTGGTTTATGCCTCGAGTACCCAGACTTAAATGCTTTGGGCAGAATGGATCAGATCTCGGGAATTTTACTCAGACATGTTCCATCAGTGTGGCCATGTTATTTGGACATTTCGGAACCGAGTTGACCAACACAGACTCAAGGTTGATGTAATTAAGTTCCGCCTGTCCCCAAAACAACCGAGTGTTTATCTGAATTTGGTTCCCTTGGCTGGTCTTGAAGGTCATCTTATTTGAATTCGCCTGGAGAACATGTGATCTGACACTCATGATATATAAATATATATATAAAGAAAAAACAACAGTTACATTATAAAGACTATAAAATACTAATAACAGGAGCATGTCTGTGTTGGTTTTTGCCATGAACTTAGCAGATGTTTGAAGCCACTTAATTACTTTAATATCCACTTTAAAGCTAGGAATAAAAAACATGTCGTTTTGTGTTAGCAGGATTTAATCCTAACTTTGAAACTTAGCCAACATTATTAAAAATATACCTCACCTGTCCTTGTATCGAGCATCCACTAAAGTGGCAACAGCGTAGAGGTTCACTTTCAATGTCAGCGACAGCTCGACGATCGACAGCTCGACGGTCGACAGCTCGACGATCGACAGCTCGACGGTCGACAGCTCGACGGTCGACAGCTCGACGGTCGACAGCTCGACGGTCGACAGCTCGACAGCAGACAGCTCGATGACTGACAGCTTGGAGGAGCGTTCTTTTCAATGTTTTGATGCCACTGTCCGTACTGTTGCCCTCGGTGAGCAGGCGCTTTAAAACGGTGACAGCTGGGATTACGTCAACTAGGATTGCTTCCACACAGCAGACATGTTGCTATGAAAAGTTGGTTAGCCGTTAGCCACAGTGCTGCTTAGTAGGATTGTGCGATATGGCATAAAATTCATATCACGATATTTATTGTAAAGGGTGGCGATAACAATATATATCACGATATGTCTTTGGTATAAAACTTTCAATAGGAATGAAAAAAGCATAGGGTGTCCTTTTGCCATCATATATTTTGAATTTAAAAAATTTCACTACTAGGTCCAGAGAGTTTTTAAATAATAAACAAATCGAGTATTAGGCTTCTTGCTTGTAGTGCAAAAGATATCAAATGTAGTTTTAGCCATGTGTTTTAAACAAAAGAATATGTTGTTATCTCTTAACAGTTTCTAGTCTCACTTTATAAATGAACAGCAACAGAGCAGCATGTTACACTGAAACCCTCCAAACCTCTAGTGGGCGACTCCTTCCGCTTTAATGGAGCTGACACAAAATGAGTCTGTGGCTTTGACCAGAGTCTCGCAGTAAAATCACACAACACAGTGTTCTTTTCACAGATCAGAGAGCAGGTTTCTCTAAAGATGACCAACGCTTACTTTAACTTTCGACGGAAAAAAAAAACCCAAACAAAACAAAACTTTTGACGGAACACAACGTTTTGCGCATGCGTCCGAATACGGCAACACTACGGCAAGCCGGCTGTAGTTAGCTTGTAGCTTTGCTACGTAGCTCTCTCCTAAAAACACATCTGTACTCCCTGACACATCTGTACTCACTGATATTTAACACAGGGTGATCAGCTTTAGATCTGGTTTTTCATTGATGCTGATTCTGTTTATGCTTTTGTTATTATTCCTATTTAACACAAGGTCATCAGATCTGATTTAGTATTTCATTGTTTCTGACTGAGTTTATGCTTTTTGTTATTATTTCCTTGACTTTTGACACAACGTGATCTGATTTAGTATTTCATTGTTTCTAATTATGTTTTCGGTTTTATATTTGTATTCCATGTGCTGTAAATATATCTTGCTACTTTTTATTTGATGATGCGATATTTTTGTTAAGCACTTTGGTAACAGTTTCTGTTTTAAATGTGCTCTATAAATAAATCTGACTTGACTCCTTGAACACAAACCCAGCTACTCAGGTTGTTTTCACACCAGATAGTCCGGTAGACTCGGTTCGGGACCAGTATTCATGACATTTTATTACATTTGAGCTGGTGCGTTTGCATTCACACTGCACTGTGCAGTTGAGTCAACCTGTTGACCTGTTCCCCCGCTCACCTGTGGGGGCGCTGCACCAAGAACTACTGAAAGAAACAACACAAAAACCTCTGAAGACACTTCTTCTTCTTCTTCTGGAAATAAAAACAAAAACTGAGTGGCATCAAGTTTTATCAGTTTTAGGAGTTATATTTTGTCATTTTTCAACAATGGACTCAGCATGAGCAGAAGATGAGACAGAAGACCATGGAGAATATTGTTCTTCACACAAGTCAGCTGACGGCTCCATATAAGAGAAATGCGTGTTTGTTTGTCCTGCGGAGCGGGGCTCGGTCTGTTTACATTCACACTGTACTGGAACCGTGCTGGAGTTCTCTTCTACTGGACCCAGACCTAGGTTTTAGCCCGGGCCAGAGTTCGCCTTTTTGTTCCGTGACAGAGTTCGATGGCGCGTTCACACCTCCCTAAACGAACCGGACTTTGTAGGAAAACGAGCTAGAGTTCGATTAAACCGGACTAAACAGGGCTGGTGTGAATGCACACTCAGCCGCTCTCCCCTCCTTCCTGTTTCTCCAGGAGGTGGGGGGACGTTTTAGCACAAGTAAACCCGGGAGAAACACAGCAGCTAGCTCCTGATCAAAAAGAAAAAATACTGTTCTTTTGGAAATAGTTTGAATTTAGACTGGCAGATGAGGGGCAGAAAAATGATTTTGTGTCCTGACCAAAGGTCGGAATTACAAATCTTTTTCATCATTTAAAACAGCGGAGTGGGGCAGCACGGTGGTGCAACTGGTAGAGCTGCTGCCTCTCAGCGAGCAGGTTCCCCGTTCAAATTCCGGTCCAGGGGCCTTTCTGGGTGGAGTCTGCATGTTCTCTCCGTGGGTTTTCTCCGGGTGCTCCGGTTTCCTCCCACAGACCAAAAACATGCATGTTAGGCTGATTGGTAACTCTAAATTGTCCCTAGGTGAGAGAGTGAATGGTTGCTTGTCTCGTTTGTCTCTATGTGTCCCTGTGATGGACTGGAGACCCGTCCAGGGTGTACCCCGCCCCTCGCACAGTGATTGCTGGACATGGGCACCAGTGACCCCCGTGACCCAAAATGGAAGAAGCGGGTAAAGATAATGGATGGATGGATGGATGGAAAACAGCGGAGTGGAGTATGAATCGTGAATCTGCAGCTCGGAGTGTTTTTCAACCTCCTTCATTAAACTCATTTAGCCGTGTTGTGCCTTATGAGAGGGACAGAGAAAGGTGGTGACATTAATAAATCAACAGCCTATCGTATCGCTAAAGGCACAGTCCTTAGCGGCTAACTCTTTAGCC